TCTTTAAAGTGCCCCTAGACTCTTTGTTATTATTTCTGCAACAGATTATCATGCCAATCCCAGTGGAAAAATCACATTTCTTCCAAATGATCAATGCCGCTTTCAGCCTATGAAGATGCCCCAGTTTATAGCAAGTGCAGAATAAACTCCATATTGATTTAATGAAATCAAATACACTATCTTGTTACAATGACAATTTATTTACTATTTCAGGAAATCTTGGCTCTCTGCGTATTCGTAGCATTTATATCTTGCCCTTCAGCAAAATTATCAGTGTGGCTTACAGTAAAATATTAAAAAAGCAATTAAACTCTGTCTGTCCATCTGTCTATCTGAAAGTAGTTTTAACACAGCAGAACTATCAAGGACAAGACATTTTGTACAGCACTCAGTCATAGGATTGCCATAAGCTGGAGACAACTTGACAATGCATAACTACAAGACAAACAATCGGATGTTTAAAAGGCTGAGAAAATAATGGGGGTTGCCTAGCGGAAAAAAAAAAATAACTTTAAAATTGGCACTGAGTGAGTCTCTTGAGGGGATGTTCATAACTGCAACACCAGCCTGGAAAGGCCTTTTCTCAGCCTCACATTTAGGACAACCTGGAAAAGGGTCTCTAGTGTTGATTTCGGATGATGGAGAGACACATAGGGACTCAGGAAGTGCTTTAAAAAATCAAAACCAATGCTTTGAACTGGGCCCATAGTTAGACCATGAACAAGTGCAGTTGGTGGATCCCTGGCATGATATGATCCTAACCTCCTTTTCACATTTAGCAGTCTAGCAACCATATAATGAATTAACTGCAGTTTCCAAGCCACTTTTGGAGACAGTCCCATGCCTAGTTCTGTGCAGGGGTCTAACCTGGAGGTTAATCTAGTCTTAGTAACAAAACTAAGACTAGCCATCTCAGTGATTCATGCTTTGGTACGTAAGTTCCAGTTTAGACTACAATCTGTTATATGTGGGGCTGACTCTGAAGCCAGCTTTTGTTTTGGGTATTGCATTCACTGTGCTATCCGATGTTTTAGTATATAAATTAACTGTCATGGCCTTTTGATTAATTGATAAAAAGAATTCATTTCTTCAGTTGCACATCCTCCTTTGTGCCCTTGTGTAGTACAGAAAGCACCTCTTCTTGTGAAACTGGGGCTATTTTCCCAAGTGACTTAAAGAAAACCACTTTTTGAAACTTATGAATAGTCTTAACTGGAAACCCTGACAAAATTGCACGGAGAAGAAAAGAGGTGAAGAATTTAATGAAAAAGCAGGAGCTGTGTACTAACCTTTGTTGTGTTATGCATTTGTTAGTGGATGAATGAATGATTGAACCAAATGAATGCCAAGAGTTATAAGTGGGTGCAAAAAGGGTTCATTTCTGTTCATCCTCCATGCTAAAAAGGAAAGACAGTTGCAATGAAAAAAGGGGTCCAGGAACAGGTGTTTTTGTACAAGGCCTGTAAGTTCTGCTTGGTTCTGATACTCAAAGTAAATTCCTGTTCTCAGCAGCTGCTCAGAAGCACCCTGCACTAAAATGCCAAGTTTTTAATATCTGGCTCCAGTTGATAGCTCTTTGGGTTATTATAAAACAAGGCAAGACTGAATTCTGTCCTTCCCTGCCCTAAACAAACTAATAAAACACAACTCACTGCATCCCCCATCCCTCCTAGGTGGGTTAGCAATCCTACTTGGTGGGAAAGATTCATTTCCTGCCAACTCCAGCCCTAGGCCCCAGTTCATTAACCTCACATTCCACAAGTGAATATCTACAGATGGATGGATGGATCCAGCCAGTAGCGCGGGAAGCAGCCATTCTGGAGCATCTGCTAAGCGTGCAGCTAGAAATGTAACTGAACATGTAATACAAGGCAGATATCAATGAAGCAGAGCCTGGTCGAGTTCTGAACAGCTAGCTTCTTCTGGATGCTTCCAGAGTCCTTTATTTGAGCACACCATGTGTGGAAGGAACCATGCGACTTGTGGAAAGCTCCAGAGGGTTTATTCTCCATGTTGGAGCATTCTCCAAATGCACCCTTAATATGAATTATCATCAGACCTTTGGTCAATATAGTCCTGCATTCTATCATTTTCTAAGAGCTTTGCTTGGGCTGGTCCTTGTGTATAAGACCAGAATTCAACAACCTGGAGGCCCCTGAAAGGAAGGACAAAAGCAGGTGAAAGCTTATACCTGAACAAATACATTTGTTACTCTTTAAGGTACCACAAGAGTCATTATTCTTTCTGCTGCAATAAGACAAGAAGATCTGTCTCTGAAAATTAAAGCTCCATTTCTGGTTATCATGGCAACGTAACATTTGCCTTTAACCCTAGAGCCTTACTTCCCAGCCCTTTAATATCTTTGTGCCTGATATGATATTTGTCAGACGTGAGACCTGCAGGTTCCTGCTGCTGCTGTGCAAATGAAGATTCCTTGTTGCCGCTGATGTTGTTGATCTTAAACGTGCAGCTTCTTAACTTCAGCGGGTGGCTTTTACATTTATGCGAGAGTATGTGGCTTCCCTCATAATCACAGCACCTTCCAAATGGGTAAATCGCTCATCATACCACAGCCTTTTCAGGGTCACCAAAAGTTCCACTTCTTTGTAAACAGCCTGCAAGGAGCTTGTTCTCGGGAACACAGTTCCTGCATCACTTCATTTCCCCCCCTGGGGCGGTCGTTCTGATCTCCCAGCGTCTCCTTCCCTTGGCATGTGTGATGCCGTTTCCTTAGAGAGGTAATCAAACTGGGCGATAGAGAATTAGATTGATCAACAAATGATGGGTGAATGAGTGGGAAGGGAGGGAGGGACGAAGGGAGGGGAGGAGCCTCCCCCCTCCTTAATTCACCCACCTACCACAGATATAAACCCTTGGCTGAGAGAGTTGCTTACAGAGGCATCAGCAAGAGGCAACTTGAAGATCGCAGCATCTGGCTGAGTCCTGCCATCCCGTTGCCGTCCAGTTCTGAAACTGAGCCCGTTTCTACCTCCTTTTCACAGTGAGTAGCTGGGACAGGGCTGCAGAAAGCTGGTGGGAAAGGCAGAGTCGCTTCGCTCTGCCGTGCTTCCCGCTGCCCCTCCAAAGTTGCCGGGGCTGGGGAAGCAAGGGGCAGGCAGAAGCGACGGCTCGTGTCCGCGGGCTGCTTGCGTGTGCTCAGGCGGGCCAAGCGGGACCCGCGGGCAGCGGTTCCGCGTGCTGAGGGACACTTCCGCGTTTCATTGCGTAGAGGGAGGAGTGGGGGGGGGGTCTGATTTTAAAAGCGACGAGGATGTATAGGTGAGAAGCGCAGACCCCTCCTGCTTCCCATGGCCGAGCTCCTGCAGGCCGTTTGACCCAGTGGAAAAATCTCAAGCGGAAGAGCTGCAGGGAAGGAAGCCAACAGCTGGGGAAGGTTCGGCTCCTCTCTTTTTAAATCTCATCCCCTTTTGTTATTAAAATCTGGTCTTTTATCCCCTTTCTACACAAGTATAGGGACTGATCAGCATTTAAGCACATGGAACCACTGCCATCCTGTTCAGTTTGGCTGAGAGACCAAGGCACTTTAAACATGCCCAGAGGCACTCAGTCAGTGTAATTGCTGTGCTAGTCTCAGGGTTACACCCCAGCATGCGTACGTATGTGAATGTATAAAGTATATCTAAATCTATATCCATATCCACTGGTGGCCCTGGAGCAGATGGTATCTTCCTTGCTGCTAGCAGGGAAAAAGCTATCCATATGCTGAAACCAGTGTGTGTGGGATTCATTATTGGCCAGATGGGACAAAAGCATCATGGTGAAGGCCTTTCAGGAGTGGGGAGCCTCCATCCAGTCCAGGGGCTGCACATTAAGCATCCTGGAACAAGGGTTCTCCAAACAGTCTTTAGGTGCAACGGTCCTGGCTGCTCGCAGTCCCCTGAATGCAGGAGGCTTGGGAGCAGCCTATGTAGGGTGAGAGGAGCCACAGAGGCAGTGTTCAGCTCCCTGTCCTCCCATGATGCACTTTTGCTAGATGGGCTTCTGTGGAGGTGGACAGAAGGAGCCTGGAGAGCCTTCAGGTTGACGTGCCTCCAGGCCCCTCCCATCGCCTCCCCTCCCCTCCCCACCCACTGGAATTCCCCCCTTTCAGCCTTCTCCAAAGTCGAATTCCTGACCTTGGAGAGGTAGTTGGCACAGTTCCTTCCTTGCTGGCTGTGGGCAAAGGGGGATCCGAGCCCCAGTTCCCAGCTCCAAGGTCGGGATGCTGTCACTGACCTCAGAGCTGGGATTTTGAAACATCCTGTGGCCCTTCAGATGATGTTGAGGGGCCATAGGATTGCTCCCTCCAAGGTCTTGTCATCAGCACACTGTGGCTTTCCCGTCCCATTTTCCTTATGGGACTGCTGCTGGAAAAGATACTTTGCTGGCCCCAGAACATTGCCAGGGCCAAGTGGGATTTGCACTGGGGGCTTTCCCATATAATCCCAACACACTCTCCGTTATCGGACCACTGTTTTCAGAACCAGCGCCTTATCTCTCCCCTGTCCAGCTCACTTTCAGGTTGGTCCCTGGAGCCCTACCAGAAGATGCATGAAGGGACAGGAAGCCTAGCTGCTGAGCCAGCCTTCCAGCTTGGTGTCCTTCCGAGGCTCTGAGCTTCACCTCCAGGTGGTCCTGGAGGACACCAGGTTGAGGATGGCTGTGAGCGCTGGTGTCTGGATTGATTGCACTACAAAGGAAAAGTAGCCATGTCAGTGAACTGAGAGGTGTGCAAAATGAACATTTTACAACAAAGTCAGGTACATTTAGGCACAAGCCACCACGCCAATGATCAGGGGACATGTTCTTCCCCACACCATATACGGAAGGCTGATGCTCTCATCAGATTTTACCAGTAGGTGATGTGGAAGGCAGTTCATGTAAACTTGGCTAGTCCGTGCAGGAGCGGAAGTGCCAGCTGCTTTTGCAGTGTGAAGCCGATCGCCCTCGGCAAGCTTGAAGCTGCCCACCCAGCTTCACACGTGCCTGTCCCTCCCCAGATGATTGCCTCTCTGAAGCCCCGGCCTCTTGTGATTGTGGCGGCACTGTGCGTCTTGTTTTGCTTGGGAACCTTGGTGGACGCCTACCCACCCAAGCCAGAGAGCCCGGGACCAAACGCATCTGCTGAAGAACTGACCAAATACCTGACGGATCTTCGGCATTACATTAACCTGGTGACAAGGCAGAGGTACGTGGGGGCAAGTCTGTGGGCTCGGGGCGGGCAGGGCTGCTGCTCCGGGGGCTTGTGTGCACCGAGGGAACACATGTGTGGGCCGGCGCCATCTTAGGCAGGCAGCCCCTTCCTGTGAGGTGAGAAGACCAGACACCCCCATGCAAAGGATGTGTGAATGAGGATGAGCACAGCCAGGGGCTGAAGCAGCATTTGATTTACAGCTATCCATGGCTGTCTTTTGTCCTGTCAGTGGGAGAAAGCCCCTACAAATCCTCTTTTTACACTACATCTGTCTTCAAGCTTGCACCAAAATTCGGCTTTCCATCTGTTGTGGAAAGACTTGGATCTCCCAGTCTGTGCACACTAGTCAGTGAAGCATTTAAAAATGATAATATAGTCAACAATGCCAGACTGTCTCTACCTTGCTGGGGGCATCTGCAGTTGGTGTGTGTGCAGGATATAGCTCTCAGTGGGCAGAAACTGCTGTATCCTGCAGGTTTTCAGGGAGTGATCAAGAAACCCAGCTGTAAAACGCCCGATTAGCCACCTTCTCCATTAGCACTGGCTGCCTGGAACAGTCCATTAGCTCTCGTCTCTTAGAAACCTAATTGGAAACTAGATCTGGGAGGCCATTAGCAATCTCTTCAGATTGATTCCTTGTGGCACCTCGTAGCTCTTGAACTCTCCACTGCTCTCTTCCCTCATTGTGAACATGAGGAATCCGTGGCCTGGCTTTTTTAGGCTGCGGAAGAGCAGAAAGCAGTGGGAGAACCTTCTCCCTTCAAGTACAAGCCCTCTAGGGTCCACCTGTGATGGTCCACCTGTGCAAGCATTCCTGGATTTGAGAATGCACAGAAGTACGTGGGGTCCTATTGGTTCATTTCCATCACTGGCTTGCCTTTGGCCAGTTTCTCTCTCCTGGTTAACGGAGACGTTCAAACAGCAACCAGCTAGTATCTTGATACTTGGTCTGAGGTTTACTACTGGGCCGAGGCTCACTACTACTAGTTGCATAGCTTCCTTCTTTCATGGTCGTCACCTCAGCTACTATCTTGGCAGCTTGGCTGCTACTCCGCATTATTTACAGTGCCCTAGACTTACCGTCATTGTACATCTTTGTGCATGCATTTTGCGTGTGCGTGCGTGTACGTGTGTATGAGCGGTAAAACTACACAAGTACTGGAAAAAATGTGGATAAAATTTTGGAAAATGGCTTTTTTATCTAGGGGAGTGGGTATGGTAAAAAACGGAAAAATCTCCAGAATTTTCTCTGGAAGAGATCTGAGAAATTTCAGCTCAGTTTTAGTTCAAATACATACAAGCCCCACAAGAATGGCCTTCACACTGAGATTTTGCAGTCGAGCTATATCCCCAAACAGTTTTGAGCAGTTGTTAGTGTGAGAACTACGGGGGTTCTCGTCTATTTGAAATTCATGCCTGGAAGTCCTTGCTACTAACCCCAAATGAGTAGAAATGGATGGTGGTTAGTAGTAAGTAATCCAAACTGCACATGCTCAGGGGCATTCTCCTTTTTATCTTTAGCAAATCTGTTCCATGATAAAACCATGAATTCCATGTGGGGGATCCTGGCTCGTGGCTGCTAAAATCAGGGGTGGCAGGGTGGGTAGAAAGAGGAATAAAATCCTTTAGTTTCTCCAAGACACAAACAGGACATCTGTAATTCAGTAATTCTCCCGTTTTTTCCCAACGCAAGGTATGGCAAAAGATCCAGCCCGGAGACTTTGATGTCAGAGCTTATTTTTGGGGATAGCAGCAACAGTGACCACAACGGCAGATCACGGTAAGTCCAAGCAGAGCAGCGTGTGCCAAGCACCAGCTAAAGCTGTATGCAGGTGAGCCTTTGAAATTCATGGGCAGACTCTGGGGACCCTTAGGCAGGATTTCTCCAGGGGGATTTCTCCAGTAGGGTTTGCGTCAGCAGTGGCAGCATTACTGCTTCTTGTTTTTCTTTCTAGAGCTGTTTGGGGGGGTTCTGTTGCTACCACGGGTGGCTACAGCATCTGGATTGGCAGCCTGGTCACCCCAATGCCCCAGAGCTAATATTATTCCAGTGCACTGAGAGGGCAGAGCAAAATAGCAGCAACCCTCAAAAACTGGGCAGAACATCTGGAAAAGGTCTGCTAAGTGGTATCCCTTTTCTAGGGGCTTGAGCAAAAGTTTTCTCAAAATTTCAGCTCAGCGCTATCCACAGTCTTGCCCACAAGCCACATTTTCTGATCAGCCATCTATAATCCCTAACACTGACAGAGACTACAAGTTTAAATGGAAAGAAAGGGCACTGTGTAGATGATCAGAGATGCCTTTTCTTCTCTGTGAAACCAAGCCTCCCCAAACCCAATATGTAAATGCGAAAGAGACCAGAAACCCTGCCACTTGGCCTAGATTTAAGGTCCAATCACAATTTAAGTGATATCACACACACACACAAAATATATCATTGCTATCGAACCACCTCTGCTCTGGGTTGTGTGGGATGGCAGATGGACTTGCCCTGGGGTTGGGATATGGAGCAGATGACATCTTTGCTTCTTCCTTCAGCTCTGTGCTCTCTTTCTTTTCTCTAGGTTTGATGATTCCTACATGTGGTGAGGACCTTCCTGCTCCTTGGTCAACGGTCCAGTGGCTGGACCTCTTTTTAAATGTTCCAATCCTGTTGTGTCATTTTGCATTTTTGAAACAATCAAGCCTTTCTTTAAAGAGGGCCTGTCCCCTCCCCACTTCAGTTTCCCCTTGGGTATGGCGTCTTCGAAGTAATCTCCCTGGGGGTTTTCCTCCTGCCTGCAGCAGCATTATGACGAAGCCATGCCTCCTTTGTTCTGCAAGCCAGCAGGGGTGCAGCACAGGATCTTTGCACCCGGGGGCTGGTGGGGTGTGTGTGCGTCTTTGGTGGTGGCCTAGGTTGTATTTGTAGTGACGTCTGTGTTGACTCACCAGTGCGAGACCCCACGATGTCCACTCTGAGCCAATTTTTGTTTTATACATCCTCTCATGTCTGTGTGTGCATGTGTGTGAGTATGAATGAGTGTATGTGTAAATGTATGTATTTTTGATGAATTCTTTCTGCATCCACAATAAAAAGCCAGTTTCATGGAGCAGACCACTACGGGTTTCCCTCCTCTGCTTTTTTTGCACCCTCCTCAAGTGGCAAACTCTCTGAGTCTCGGGGATCAAAAGACAAAAGCCATGACCCAAAGGACCCAATTGTAAACTGGGAAGCCATATCTATGCAGCCCCCCAATTCAACCCCCCCCCCATTTTTGGACCGGTTATCAGACAATGGCAGCACCCCTCCTTCCATCCCACATCATACATGCACACAGGCATTCAGTACCACCAGATTTTAACTGAAACTCTTACGAGATGGTGTTTTACAACTCCTCCATAGGACTTAGGCAGGTCTGAGTCACAGGGAGAATGGTCTCTTGATATTTAATCCTCCCATAGTTTAAAACCCACTGCTGGTCTGGTCTGGTTTGGTCTTGTCTACCCATGTGGGAGAATACAATAGAAAGCAGAAGTGAGAGCGTGCATTTCTGTACTTTTTAGACTTCCACTTTCCAGTGGTGCAGCCAGGGAAGGCAAAGACAGCAGCAAGCAGCAAAGCAAACTCCACTGATTATTTGTGCCACGTAGGTGCTTTGGTTTGGGGGAGTAGCTTGCCAGCTGCGCACCCTCAGAGGTGTTGGTTTTCAAATCAGGGTTGGTAAGCAGGTTTCCTTTTTCTTCTACTGTATCAGGAATGTGGAAACAGTTGAGACATATGGGCTAAGAGCGATGATGGGAGATGAGGCATATTAGTCATCCGCTTCATGACTGAAGTGATGCACATGGCCATCTCCAGGGACCCACAGAGAACCTCTAATTCCAGGGTCTAAAATACCCCAGCTGTACTTATGGCCAAAAGACCAATATTTCTGCCCTTCAAAGAGAAAGCTTCTAGTTCAGCCCTTTGTCTTCTGTGCCTGCTTTCTGTTTTCAGATAGGTTTAAAAAACCAGAAAGTATTACACACACACACGCACACACACGCACACACAGCCTACAAGCTAAAATGGTGCAATCTATTTTACCATCCAGTTCTACTGGGGGGAGGGGTTAAGCAAGGCCTGGCCCTTGATGTTAATTACATGGATAATTGCTCCCTCTTTACTTTCTGAGTTCCTTTTAAGGGCACAGGCTTATGCAGGCTTAGATGGAGAAAGTCCTACTGCTTCTAGTGTTCGATGGCACCCTAGTACTAGCCACTCTCAACATACGCCACCTTAATTTTGCATTCGTCCGAGCTGAACTTCCCACTTCCTTCAAGGTTTTCCTTCGCTGGACAGGGAGCGCTGCTGCGCTGCAACCCTTTTAAAACGCCTCTTCAGCAGCTCGTCAAATACAACCGAGAGGAAAGTGGCTGACGGTGGCAGGCTGGACCAAGACCTGATGCCAGCCGCTCGGTTTGTGTACAGAAGCTGATAGGAACGGCAGTAAATCTTCCTTTGGTACTGGTGATGAGATAGCAGCCTTCACTGCATCTGGGGGAAGCAGGGTAGTTTAGGGGGCCCTAGGCAGGCAACACGGCACAGCCCTTTAAGAGAAGGAGAGAACTGGGGGATGAAGTTGGAAAGCCCACAGGCTTCCCCTGCATCCCCTCAGCATCTGTTGCCCAAGGGAGCTGTCTCACTTGGCTTGCCTGGAAGGTTGGCCCTGCTCCGACTGCAGATGGAAAGACAAGCTGGGGACAGAGATGGCTTGCCCACACGAAGCGCTGTGGGAGGCAAACCTCAAATCCATTTATTTATTGGTTCTAGCTAGCTAGCTAGCTATCCATCCATCCCCTGCTTTTCAGCCAAGATAGGCTCCCAAAACAACCTATAACAAATAACACCCCTCACAAAAAGGCCATATCAGATGTTGGGGATACATGGGTGAATTTCTGACTGTTTCTTTGGTTCCCTGCTGCTGGTACATTCCAGGCTCTTGTCTCCCCAGTTCTCTACCTACCTATCTCTCTATTTCATGTTTGTACCACCCCATAGCGGAAACTCTGTGGGCAATTTACAACCACAGGAGAAGAGGCAGGAGAAGTTACAGATGGATACGGATACATGAGTTGGCCAGTAGCAAAAGTGTCAGCTCACAGAACCGGGTAAACAGGAGCCATCGTGCCGTCTGAGGCCATGGATAAGATAAGGGAGACACACCCCACGTACAGAAGCTGACAGGCCTAGCAGCTGAATCTTGTCCCGATGATGGGACGGCATCCTCCACTGTGCCCACAGGTGGCTGGCGAGTGTAAGGAGTTCGAGAGCAGCCCTCCGATGTTTCAGTGCTATAAGGAGCAGCCCTTTTGTGTGTCACTGTTGTCATTGTTTCTGTGGGACAGACCCATGAGGGAGGTCCAGATAATTAAAACCAGTGTCTTCATGCGAGCAAGAGCTGGAATCCGGATTGGCCCGGGTTTCCCCCATGTATGGGTGTCCAGAAACAGGCTGCCACAGACACTGGAGTTTGTGGCCAATGGATGTCAAGCTGGCAGGGGCAGACAGGGGTTCCTTGTGGGGCCTGCAGTCCCCTCATGCACACTTTAGAACAGGGTTGTTGAACCTTTTTCGACCCAAGGGCCAAATTCCATTTCAAGGAAGCTCTCTGCACCCACGTTGCAGTGGTGCTCAAAGGGTGGGACCAAAGCAAGGCAAGGCAAGGCAAGGCAAGGCAAGGCAAGGCAAGGCAAGGCAAGGCAGAAGGTTAAAAGCTCTCACTGTCAGTAACTAGGCTTTAAGAGAGGTGTTTCATTCTTCCATCAGAATGGTGCAGGGGGCGGGGGAGAGACTGCACAAAGGCCAGGACATCACCAAATGATCCATGATAGGGGAAAAGGGGAATAGCTACTGGGGAAATCTGGGAAAGTCAGATGTGACCTGCAGGTCTGATGTGCTGCACCCCTGCTTTAATCACATGAGGTGGGACCACTCTTTCGGGAGAGGCCCTGTGCCTTGGGAGAATTCAGCAGCTGCAGCTTTTCTCATCAGAAGGCAGATCAGCTCCCCGGCAGAATTGTCTCTTCGATGAGACTCCTGAGGACGCTGACGTCTTCCATCCAGGGCATCGACCTGGCCAACGATACGTCAAATAATTGTGGTGTAGTGGATAAGAGCGCAGGACTGGGACTCAGGTGATCTGGGTTCTAGTCCCTATTTGACCATGGAACCAACTAGCTGACTTCGGGCCAGTCCCAGACTCTCAGCTCAACCTCCCTTACGGGTTTGTTGTGGTGATAAGACTGAAAGCAGGAAAAGGATGATATAAGCCACTTTGTGTTCTTTGTAAGGAAACAAGTGGGATATAAATCAAATAAATAAATCCCTTTGCTTTTCCATTCCTTCCTGGCAAGAGCCAAGAGCCTTTCCTGGACATTGGCCTTGTGCAACATTTTACCTTAGCCCTCCTCCCTCTGTGCAAGACCCTCAGTGTGATGGGTTTCCCTGTTCTGAAGCTGGAATTTGAGAAGTGCCCACTTTCCCAAGGGTGGCACTTCTGAGGCAGCTGCCGTGTGCTGGGTGGGGAGAGCTCCAAGGCAGTTGCGTGGGGAGAGTTAAAAATAAGCTAGAGGACAGGGATCGATATCTGGTGGTTATCTATGCGAACTATTGATTTTTCCAGTTATTATTTTTGCATTGTTCTAAGGTCCCTGCTCTCCTTCTTAGCAAAACACCCCACTAAAGTAAGCAACTTGGAGAGCACAGCTTTTCTGGAGCATTTCTAGTTAAGCGTGTAGGTAGAGAAACAGGAGAAATCAACAGGAGAAACAGCTCTGTCTTGGGCCACGGATGACAAGCCTTTCTTATTAATGGTGAACGACCATTCCCAGTTGTAACCACTGAGCATGAAAGGGTTTCTTTACTTGTGAGGTTGAACCTACTGCTTTACCAAGGCTTCTTTTTCCATTTTCACTGCAGAAGGAAAAAGATGTCCTTTCCTTTACACTTTTCCCCTCCGGGTTTGTATTTCTGTACCTTTCTATATAGTCTATTAAGTAACCACAAGGCGGTGTTGTGGGATAGCAGCAGTATAATGGAATTGTATTTTTCACCAGTCTTTGGTTCTAGTGTGTTGTGCCTTGAATTTTAATGTCTGAACTCTCTTGCTTTAAAAAAAATACTTGTGAGAAGGGCTGGAAAACAAGTCCTGGGGGATGACAACATCATGACAAAACCAGCAAACTTCTGTGAGCACGGGAGCACAAGTCCACAATACAAGCCTTGCTCAGAGAAGCCCAAAGGAAGCGGAAGAAGTGCAGCTGGGCTTTATTTTCAGAACGAGAGGAAAATAGCATGCCGTTGTGATGAAGTGATAAATGAATATTTTCTGTTGGTCAATTCTTTACTACAGTTGGTGAGAATTAGGGATAGGGAGAAATGAGTTTGGTTTGCATTTTAAAGACAACTTACCCAATCTTGTAATCTGAACCATTATATAAATTGAGACTCAGCCATCCTTTGAACTTCACCCTTCTCTAAATTTTGCAGTGAAGTTCTCCCATCAAAAGCTGGCATAATATCCCTGCTGGGAAAAAAAGCACACCAAAATGGTTGTGTTTGTGAA